TCCATGCTGACAGTGATGAGGGGGAAGGGAGGGGAGAGCCCGTGGTGAGAGGGGAGGATTGGGGCATGCAGGGAATGTCAGGTTGGCCTGGGAGGGGGAGGGGGGATGGGAGGGTCTGTATTGATGCTGGGAGAGGATTGGGGCATGCCTGGAGACTGCTCGGTGCTGGAGACTGCAGGGCCTGTGCTGGTCTGAGGGAGAGGGCATGCTGGGAGAGTCTGTGGTGCTGCGGGGGTGGGAAAAGGGGGGAAGGGCTGGGCTGGGAGGGTTTCTGGTAGTCCTGGGGTGGGTTTGGGCATGCTAGCAGGGCTCGTGGTCCTGGGGGCCTACCTGTGAAGATCTGTGGTGGTTTCTTGGGTGAGCAGGGTGCTGGGCTGGGATTCAGTGGTATCTGGGGTTCCTATATTTCTGGGTAGGCCTCCTCTTTGTGAGGCTCTGCTGCGTACCAGGCCTTGTTGTTGTGTGTCAGGATGGGGGCTCAGGGCAGCTCCTGCTTGCGAGGAGAGGAAGGAGTGAGGATTGGTCTAGGCCTCACCTGGCACCTGGGAAGTACGCCTGAGAGAAGACTACCACACGTGCCAGCTGGGCGATGGAGTCACCTTCTGTCACTGGTTGCAACCAAGTGCCAGATGCTGAGGGTCAGGGCGCGCACGCTTGGGGGCTGTCCATGCAACAGCTAAAGTTGTCTGCAGATGGCTGGCAGGACTAGGAGTTAGAGCTGTGCTCTATTCCTCCACCACTATTGGTGCAGAGGAGCTCTAAAGGTTGTGGGTGCTGGCTACTGAGAGCAGCCTTTCCTCTTGGGCATGCGTGACTATGATGGCAGCTCAATGACTGTTTCTGCAGCAGGCAGGGCAGGAGCCAGGTTGCTGAACTTGCCCAGGGCAGGCCAAAGCGCTCGCTGCCATGTGCAAAGCCCAAGACACCGTTGTGTCCTTCACTGCCTTTGGCTTCTCTTGGCTCTCTGTGAAATTATTGTAGCCAGCTGCATTGCAGAGAGCATCATCCCCTTCATTCTTGAGAGAGAATCTCTGCCTTGATTAACCTTGCCCCTTCCCCAAGGGTAAGGGTTCGATGTGCTGTGCACCTGACAGTGTATCTGTGCTCCGGCCCCCTGCATTAGTGCCAGAGGAGGCCCAGGCTGGTTGAACTGGCCTTGAGACCAGGCCCTAGTTTCCCAGCATGAACTAGAAAATGTTCACAACACTTGTGTCAGGGAGCATAGACTTTGAGATGTGGCCTGGTGCTGTGTCATTGCCTCCCATGATTCTGAAATGTAATGGTGCCCTGGGAAAAGGCCTCTTGTATTATCCAGGGCAGTCTTTAACATGGCACTGTATAGTTGTTGCCATGAAATGATCTAACTGTCTTGAGGAGGAAAAAGTAGTATTTTTTCTTTATGGCTCCTGGGAGACTGGTAGAGCCTTTTTTGCTGTGACAGTAGCTAATTATCCATGGCTGCTTTGTGCCTGTTTGCTCTTATGCCAGCACTATCCTTTAATGTCAGTTATTCTTTTTTCCTCTCTGATATTTAGTCTCAATTATATTTATAGGTGGCAGTAGCTCTTCCTCCTTGACTTCTACTTGGTTGCACTAGACAGACTGAGCTCTTTCTTCATGGGTAAGACAAGTTACCATGATCTGGCTCATGACTCTTTCCAGTACTTCACCAACTTCTGTTATTAAACAGAAAATGGACTTTCTGCTATCATCTTCCTAGTGAGTCCTAGTGGCTCTCACTAGGACTTTGCCCAGTGCTATCACTGCCTGCACTGGAACTATCTCTCCCACTGCATTTTAGGAGCACATACAATTTTTGCAGGGGTTTATCCCATTAGTACTGACACTTGCAGTCACCAATATTCAACAGATCCTCCCAGAACTTCTCTCCCTTGACATTTGGAAGCTTTGCTTCAGTGCACTCATTAGTTTTCCCTGATGTGCATCACCTTGCACTTTGTGCTTTTTATTTCATCCCCTTTCTGTTCCTCCAGCTCGCAAGGTCACCTGGCACTGGCTGTACATTTTGATCTCTTCCCGCGTTACGAGTGATTTCCTCAGCTCGCTCCCAGTTCTATGCCGAGGTCACAAAAGACAGCATCAGTCACAAGCCTACCCCTTTGAAAAGCCCTCCTTTTAATGGCACTGTCCGGCTGAGCCCTCTTGCTGCTACTTGATCCTTTCCGTGCATTTATGAAGACAGTTCTGTCTCCAGGATATCAGACTCTCTGGGGCAGGGCTTGGGACAGGCTGGAGGCAATGAAACTGCAGCAGCTTCAGTTGTCTCTATGCAAAAATGCTGGAGGGTGACCTCTTGCATAATGTGGATCCATAGGTTTTCTGCAGTGAACATGTGTATGTGTGACCAAGAGCAGACCTCTCCAAAACCTCTCAGTTTAAACCCGACCTGTGGTGAAGAATCCCTCACAGCCCTTGGTAAGTCAGTGTATTGCTTAACTCCTGCCACAGTTAATGCTCTGCACTTCATGTCCTGCCTGTGCTATCTTCCAGCTGCTGGGCCTTAGAGGGGCTTCCGTGTAGTCATGCTGAGTGCTAAGAGCAAGTAGGGAAAACTCAGATACTTTGGGTGTTGTTCACACTAGCCATCACATGGGAAGAAGTTTGTGCCAGCTCATAGAAAACACCAAAATTTGTAGTCTTTCCTGAACTTAGGCTTTAGAGTCAGCCTGGGCCAACTGGCATCTGGATGTTTCTGTCCAGCCTGCTGCCTTTTCCCCGAATGACAGAAAAGGCAGCCCTAACACTGGGACCTTCAGTAGCCCTAGAGCGCATTTCCAAAAAAAGGCTGGGTATAGGCTCTCTTTGCCACCTGTTTGCGTGGTTCTCCTTCCCCATATACCTCAGGGGAATGACTCTTAACAGCTGCTGAGCTTGCACGAGCCTCTTCATGCACAAGGAAGCCATTCCCCCTTTTCTTTTTAAAACCTGGAAGTTAGAGCACCGTTTTTGGTTCTGGAGACCAGAATCTGAGAGTTCTTCAGTTCTCTCCTCTGCTTGGGGGATTTCTGATCCCTCACTCTAGTATCAGCCTGATGTCCTCTGCACATAGGAAAGAGCAAGAGTCGTGGGCTTGAAAGGGAGATTCAGATCCATCTCAACAGGTGAGTGTACCCTGGAAAAGGGTAATCCTGAGCCCTGGTCTTTGCTTCCGGTGTTACTTGGGCATTATAGAGTGAGGGATGGACTCTAGAAATGGTGGTAGAAGCACCTAGCAAATGCTTGTCTCAGCAGGTGACAGGCAGGCAAGGACTGGTCATCTCAGTTTGGCTAGCTAAGAGATTTCTAGTAGGGTTTTTTTCCTTCACGGACTTTCTTCAGTTTTGGCTTTCCAGTTTATCTGAATTGCTGTCCACTTTCCCTTTTTATGTTTATAATGTATTTAACAGTTATTTTCATCTTCCCTGTTTTTGTTAGCTTCTTAAACTAACATGGACTTTCTTGGCTTTGCCTTTTGAGGCATCCAGTCCTATTTATTGCTCAGTTTTCCTAAACGCCCCCTTTTCTCAGCAAATATGGCCTGTACTTGTTCATAGCTTTGTGTGAGAGACTAACAAAGCTTTGGATTGGTCATGCTGGCTACATGGGAATGAAACAAAATACTTGTGTTGAAACACTTAGTTTTGTGAATTCCCTTTACTGTAATTTGAGGTCAATTTGAGGTGGGGGTGGGAGATATGAACAATAAGCAATATTTCTTGGAACAGCTTTTATTCATTAAGCTCTTGCTATTAATGAGATCAAACTGTTTATTAATAGCATGTAACTTCATACAATGTGTTTGCTTATTCACTCACACAGTTCACCCCCTGCATTTACTTACAGTTACCTAGTAAGAGTGTCAACCCCAAATATACTCAGAAGGGGAGGGTCACACTGATGCACCAGTCGCTTCTAGGTAGAGGGACAGTTCCTCAGGGAATTCTCCATCTCCATTTCATCAGGAGTCTGTAATCCCACAAGCTCCATCTGCATACAGCAGCCACTGCCCTCTTGGATGTGGTCTGAGTTATACAACCAGTTATATATACCAGTGTGTGCTGGTGGCCTTGTACAGATTCAGCAGACACTTCCTGTCCTGAGTTTATCAGTTCTTGTAGATTCAACCACCCCAGTAGCCTCCAAAGCTTATCAGTCCTTAGGAAGCTTTGACACACTGTCTTCTGAGCACATATTTTTCCTCTCTTTGGCCTGTTGTTCGCTGGCAGCTGTTGCTCCTCTTGCACCTGCAGGTACATATAGACCCCATGCGCTCAAATAGAAGTGGCCTTTATGACGGTTTTATGTTTAGGTTTGCAGCAGCTTCGTCTGTGTGCTGCAATCAGGTTTGTGGGGCTCTCTCCTTTGTGACACAATAAGTCAGGAATTCAGATGCTCTTAAAGCATCCGTGAAGTCAATCTCTACCATTGCTCCTGGAGTCCTCCCCCAGCTGACTCCTTCCATTATGTCTCAAGACATCAAAGGTGAGACTGCGTTGTCTGAATTTAGCTGTTCACAAAGGAGGCATCCTCATCTGAGCTAGTTGCTCTTGCTGTATATCAGGCACCAACAGGATATGATTTCATGTGATTTTTCAGGAGTGTGTTCTACAAGGATATGAATCGCACTTTAGCATTGTTTTCCTCTGCATCAGTTAAGTCTAAACTAATTGACATATGGCATCTGAATGTGGACAGCAAACCCACATCAGGAGATCTGAGGCAGATATTTGAGTCTGGTATCTCTAACAAGCCAGGCAACAGCTAGCCTACATGCCTGTGACTGCTGTCCCTGGGCCTGCCTTCCCACAGAGCCTGTGGGGCAATGACTCTGAGGCCAAAGGCTGAATGGCTCATTAGCCATTTCAGAGGCTGGAGGTTGCTTTGTCCTCAGGCAGGGGCATCAACTCTGTCTGTACGGGCCGTGTACCAGTGTCAAAAGGTCCCTTATGTGCAAGGTCCCTTATATACAAGTTGCTGTGAATAGGCTCTGGAGATACCTGTGGGTTTGGATGGAGCCCAGAAAAACAATGGTCAAAGAGAGGAACAGTACACGCTAAGAAGGCAGTCTGAAAATTTCCTGATAAGCCCTGGAGATGAGTCAAGCTGTTGAATCCACAGGATCTGATAACTTGGGACATCAGGATTCAGCTGAGTCTGTCCAAGCACACGCTGGCATCAACAACTGACTTGGACCAGACTACCTTCTGGGAGAGCAATTGCTGCTATATGCAGGCAGAGACTACAGGGTTATACATGCACCTACTGAGACGAAGGACCCTCTGAGGAACTTTCCAAATCCCTGCCTGGAAGCTGCTTGCAAGCCAGTATGATCCTCAACTTCTGGTTATATGGTTGAGACTTTAGCCACTCAACTATTGCTCCAACCAGGTAACTATGAGTGAATGCGCTAGTGAACTGTGTGAGTGAATAAATGAATAACTTATTGCTATTAATAGAAGTTTGATTATGTTACTAATAGGTTAATAAGTAAAAGATTTTCTAAGAAATTCTAGTCGTGGTCTGTGTCATTTCTGCACCACCAGCACCGCTCTGCCAACTTGATGCCTTGTTAGGTAAAAAGGAATTTACAACACAGGGTTTTTGAATTATCTCTGCTCCCTGTATACATGTATGTGTGCTTGTCTCTGAACTGCCGCCCTGTGCACTGTTGTTGCCCATGTATTTGTCTTCATGCCCCATGTTCTACAATCCTGCCCCCCAAATGGATCAGCACTCTCATGCTTTCCCTTCTTTCCTTTCTGATTTTTGCAGAGGGTCCTGTCTGGGTTGGCGCTCGCTGCCTGGAGTCATGGAAGAGCACCCGGGTCCTCCAGCTTGCGAATTCACCTTTCCCCTGAGGCGCATCTGCGTTTCAGAAGCAGATGGGCCTGAAGATGAAGAGCAGGAGGAGGCTCTGGAGAAGGATGCAGCCCAGGTGCAGCATAGAGAAAAGATGGAGGGAAGCTCCCCAGAGCGGCAGAGGCAATCTCCCTCTCGCCGTTTGGGACGGTGCTGGCAAGGAAACAGTTCTCTCGCCCCTCAGGACACAGACAGGCCTGACCAAAAGATGGGAGAGGGCAAGGTGGCCGCCCCATCCCAAGAGCCTGAGGTGCCTGGGGAGCTGCAGCTACGCAGGCCGTTCCGGCGGAAGCACCGACTGTACTTGAAGCCCAAGACAAGCCAGGCCGCTCCGTCCCCAGGCCCGGGACAGGGGGAGAGAGCCGAAGAGCCAGGTCCCTCTCGGGGGAAGAGGCTGCGGTTCATCTGGGGCCAAGCCAGTGATTTCCGACGGAAGAAAAGCCTTTTGGAGAATGGGCTGAAAGAGGCGCCCCTCATGCCCCAGAGCAGCGAGGAGGAGGAAGAAAAAGGCTCTCGGTCCTGCTCCCCTGAGCCAGCTGTTCCCGGAGATGCCCGTGCTAAGCCAGACTTTGTGCAGCTGATTGACGAACATGGCATCTACTCCACAGCCAAGCTAGTGCTGGGTGGCTCGGCAGGCGAGCTGGAAGAGGCGGTGGTGCTACCCCCGCACCTGAAGCGGGGAGCAAGCATGGCTGGGAGCGGGGCGGAGTTTGAGATCCGCGAGGTGATCGTGGACGAGAAGCCGTTCCAGTGTGGTGTATGTGAAAAGGCCTTCAAGCGGGCATGGGAGCTCTTCAGCCATGAGGTGGTGCACAACGAGGAGCGCCCTTTCCGCTGTGACCTCTGTGAGGCCTCTTTCAAGCGCCACTCAGACTTCAAGAGCCACCGGCTGGTGCACACAGAGGAACGGCCCTTCCGCTGTGAGCTATGTGGCAAGCGTTTCAAGCGCTCGTCCAACCTCCAGGAGCATCGCCGCATCCACACTGGCGAACGCCCCTTCCACTGTGCCTGCTGTGACAAGAGCTTCAAAACACCTTATGAGCTGCAGCGCCACACGCTCACGCACTGCACCGAGAAGCCCTTCAAGTGCGCGGATTGCGGGAAGGACTTCCCCACGTCCAACGCGCTGCTCCTGCACCAGCGGCAGCACTGCGATGACAAGCCCCATGTCTGTGGCATCTGTGGCAAGAAGTTCACCTATGGGCACAGTCTCAAGGTGCATGAACGTGTGCACACAGGTGACCGCCCCTTCGTTTGTCCACTCTGTGGCAAAGGCTTCAAGCAGTCCAATGCCCTCTCCTCACACGAACGTGTGCACACGGGTGAGCGCCCTTTTGTCTGCAAAACCTGTGGGAAGGCCTTCAAGCAGTCGTCCTACCTGGTGATCCATGAGCGGGCGCACACTGGGGAGCGCCCCTACAAGTGCGAGGCATGTGGTAAGGCTTTCGCTCGTCCCTCGTTGCTGCTGCAGCACCACCGGGTGCACAGCCAGGAGCGGCCCTACAAATGCAGCTTCTGCCACAAGTTCTTCAAAGACCTGGCCTATCTGGCTGTGCACGAGAAGGTGCACACGGGTGAGACCCCCTACAAGTGCAGTGTGTGCGACAAAGGCTTTGCGCATCCTTCCAACCTGCTGCAGCACCAGCGTGTGCATCGTGACGGCTGATCCCTGGAGCGGTGTGCACAACTCAGGTGTTTCAAGGCAAAGGAGCCCACAGCCATAAGCGAGCGTGCCACAAACGTGTGCTGCAACAGATAAGCCCCAGGCATGCATGCTGCAGCACCTGTTCCCATACGTGTGCAAGCCATGTGCAGGGGACCAGCACAACTTCCCTAGAGAAGGCTTGTCCAGAGCTCAAAAAGCACGTGGTGCTGCAGCTCTTCTCTTGAGCCACAGCCTGACAGGGCCTCTGCTGCATGGCTTCTCTCCGCCAAACCTTGACCTGTGCTGCTTTCTCCTCCTCCCTCACAGAGGGGTTATCCCATGAGGCTCTTAACTGAGCTCATTGGTTGGGGTTGGTGCAAACTCCTTCTCCCAGCCAAGGCTACCTGCAGGGAGGCAGTAAGCTGTGAGAGGTGTTGCTGGCTGCAGGCCAGTCAGTGAGAGCAAGCTGTAACTCCTTGCCCTCCTGGCATGCTGCTGATGTGAGGGGCAGGCAAGGGTCTAGCTATGAGGCCAGAGCAGCCTGCAGAGGCAAGCTGAGCCATGATGTGGTTAGGAGGTGGGGTCAAAAGCTCTGAAGAGCAGAGCATATTAGCTGGACCATGGCAAGCCGTGTGTCTTTCCTTCTGATGCCAAGGGAGTACTGTTCAATGCCACGCTCTCTTCTTTGCCCTGGCATGTGGGTGTTGCAGGAGGTCGAAGACCCCAGTCACCCCAGTGAGTGTTGTTCTGCCTGGGCCCCAAACAGACTCCATGAGCATCTGTCTTGTGCTCTGGGGCAGCACTGCTGCCTCCTTGAGCACAGGGTAGAGGCTGGGGGCTGCTGGGGAGCAGCCTGCCTCTCAGAGTGGGGCACATGCTGTCAGCTGTGGCTGAGCCCTAGCAACAGGAGGAAATAGACTTGTCCGTATTTTGGGGTGAAGTGCTTGTAGGCAGAGAATAGCATCACAGGGAGCAGCAATGAGCCATCACCTCTCCTCTCCTCTAGAGCACTTGGGCTGAGGGTTAAGTATCCCGTCCATATCTCACATTGCTACTTCTGATGGAGTTAATTACAGCAATGTCCTTGACCCTGCTGTGCAGGGGTCATGAGGGCTTTTTGCCTGTTAGGCAGCCTCCTCCTCCAGGACAAAGAGCAAAGGCATGGTTATGCTGGCTGCAGGTTGTATGTTCTGATTAAAACTTGGCCTAGAGGCATGAGGGAAGGGTTGGATGTTGGGTCTTCAGCTCCAGTGCAGCTCACTACCAGCTCAGCTCTCCCAGCCCCTGCCTGGAGGAAAGGGCCTGTCATCTTGACAGTTGCTGCCCATCCTGGCTGCTCTGCTGTGCCGTACCATGCTGTGTGCAGGCCCTGGCACAGCCCAAATGGAAGCTGTGGTTCTTTCTGCGTGGACCTAGGCCTGCGATGTATCAGCAGGCCGCGAATCCTGTGTACTGTGTTGATTTGAAACACTAACCCTCTTTTCTGCCCCAGGGTGCTGCTCAGGCTGGTAGGGAGCAGAAGAGGGGGGATGCACTGCTGTGGTCCGCTTTGGGAGCGTCGGCAGGAGAAGCCCAGTGTTGTAAGGTGTTCTATAACTGCTCATGGGACATCTCTGCCTAGACCTGGGCAGGAACCTGGCCAGGGTATGGGTGAGCAGACTTAATCAACTCTCCTTCCTGTGCGGTCTGTGCCCAGCTCTCACTTCCCAGAGGGCTGGATTATCCAACGGCAGCACCAGGCCTAGCCACCTGCACTCTGCTGCTGAAGTCTGGATTTGTTCTCCTTGACTGAAAGCTGCTCCTGCTGCCTCCAGCTGCTACTGTTGGGTGGAGGATGACATGTGGACCTTTCCCAGCGAAGGCAAGACCTGGCCCTACCCTGGGGCCCTACTAGGCATTGGCAGAACCCCGTCCTCACACACACGAGTGCCCTGTGCCTGAGCCACCTAGAGGGGCCTGGTGTCACGCTAACCTTCCTGCACACCAGAGCTGTGGGACTGGAGGTGCCTACTCTTGGACTGTTGGTGACCCTGGTCCTACCCTGTCCCCCTCTTTTATGGTTCTAGTAGCACTGGGGGTGGAAGGGGGCACAAGGTTATGCTCCTCAGTGCTCTGCACACTAATTACAGGACAGTTATTTAATGATGTCTTTGCCTCCTCACTACCTTGAACCCAGTGCTGTGTCTAGCTGAATCCTTCCTTGCTCCTGGGCTGTCATCATGAAGGGATGCTGGTGATTGCTGAGGTGCCATGTGGATGGGGAAGTCCAGCCCTGGCTTGTTTACTCAATCAGCTGGAAGGTGCATCATGCTTGTGTGGGAGGCTGGAGAAGCTCCTCCTTGGTGCCTACCTGGGGACACTTTTCCTTAGCATGGTAAAGCCAAGTCCTTCTCCAGCATAGCCTTGCCAGCCAGGAGCTGGTTGGAACCTCAGCAGGCAACCAGGAATGTGCTGGATGGCTGTGGGTGGGCTGGGCAGGCCAGGCCAGGCTATTACATGTGAGCCTTCAGTCTTATTGGCTTGCAGCCATGGGCTGCTCATCTTGCTCTACAGTCCCTGCTACGGTCTCCCATGTCCACCTCTCACACGTCTTTGATATGCACAGGAGGCTCTGTAACCCAGTGACCAGGTCATGATGTGCAGCAACCATGGGCACAGAGGCTGTAAATACAGTGAGCCTGTCTCATTTTCCAGATTTATGTCTGGGCCAGGAGCAGGTGAGGCTATTTGCAGCACAGCATGGCATGTGTCAGTTCAGTCCTCACTACCAGCGTGCAACTAGTGTCTGATGCACGTTGAACTTGTGTTGCCCTAACAAGTATGGCAAGAGGAGACCTACCAAAACTTGGGTGTGCAACAGATTTCGTTAGTTGCTGCCAAGCTGGCATCTCTCACACACATTCAATGCAGTGATGGAGTGACTCTTCTTCCCTGCTGCAAGACTTGCCAGCAAGCTCTGTTTTGGATTTTCCCTCATGGATCCCTTGGGAGGAGGGTTTGTAAAGCTGGTCTCTCCCTTCCCCTGGAGACTCCCAGGTTTCTCACATTTCAGCTCTTAGGACAGCGGTGGGGCAGCTCTGGCTTCTTCCTGGTGTTACTGCCAGCTGCAGGCTTCCCATGAGTTTGTCCACATGATTTGATTTTGAAGTTGTGTCTGATAGACTTGTATGGTGGGAGCCTGACCCTGGAATGCGCTTTGTTGCCCAGCTGCTGCTGAACACAAACGCATCTTAGTTTCTTATCTTAGGAGCTGAAGCCTGAGGGCCTCCGGGGAAAGGGGAGGGAGAGACCAACTTTGCCAGGAGAAATGTGAAGGACTGTCCTTTGTGGGTGTCACCAGTGGGGTTAGGACTGTATCTTCATCTTACTTGCCCCAGGGCAAAGCCATGAGCTGTGGGATCACCGACTAGTCTCAGTTCTCTGCTCTCTGGTGCGTGCTTCTTTGATGGCTAATGAGGCATGCTTGGTGTTGTCAGGCTAGCTTTGCCTTTGCTATATCTGGGCCTTTTGAGCCTATGGCTGGTAAAAGAAGTGCTGAAATTATGTCCAGCCTTCTCAGAATGTGGAGCCTGGGCTTAAACAATTGGGCCTTCATGTAGCCATCTAAGAACATGGCTTATTTGACTTGTTTACATCCTAGAGCACCTGTGCGTTTTCATAGAGAATAAAAGGAAAACTGAGACTGCTGTAGGATGGAGAGGTGGGCTTTATTCCAGCTGCCTGCACCCAGGCATTGCTTTAGAGCAAGGATGCATGTTCCTAGGAAGAGATGCCAACAAGTGGCTCACTGCAGCAGTGTTGGTGCTGTGCCAGTACAGGCTCTGGTTTGCTTACTGTATCCACATTTCTCTGTCCCAGGATCAAGCTTAGATGTCAAGGTGTCCCAGTGCAGTGCCTTCTGGCACAGGTTCATCACCTGGCCGTTTGTGCCATGTGCACCTAAGTACACTTCAGGGTTGTATGCACTATGGGCCTTCCTGTGATGTCTGTGTTAAACTCTAGCATGTATGTGCAGGGTGTCTGTAATCCCTGTGCTGGCACCAAAGGTGCCAGAGGCATTCCAGGCTCTGCCCTTTCCCTAATCCTGTAATTGACTGCAACCTTCTCAGTCATCATTTTTCTGAGTGATTGACATCAAGGTTGTGGATGTAATTGTTTTTTGCCTTCTGTGAAGCATCACTCTTGGAGAAGACAGGGCACAAAACAGCCCTCAGGAGGTGGTGTGTGGATGAGTTGTATACCTGCAGCGATGGGAGCAGACTGAATGCAATGGTTGTCAAATGGTCATAGCCCTGGCAGTAGCTGGCATCAACACTCTGTTCCTCCCCTCCCAGTCGTAGGGATGGCATTTGTGTACTCCTTGACTTTGAAAGCAGGAAGAGAAACTTCACCATTTAAGGCTTGATGAGACGCTGAAGCCGGTGCTTCAACGCCAGCATTAGCCACAATGCACCTCCATCATGCCTGCATGTTTTAGCAATGTGAGCCCTTGCTCCCTAGCCTCGAACCACCTTAAACCATATCACAGTCCCAACAGGGGAGTTTCTCCTAAAGAAGAAAATCTTGGGGGTGGGATTTGGAGGACAGATGATGACTCTGAGGGCAGAAGCTAGTTGCTTAAATAGAGGTTATGCTGTCACTTATTGTCATGCCAGAAGGTGCAAGTCTTTTGTAGGTCACATGTCACCTCTACAGATGTCTCAGACACCCAAGGCACCTCCAATGGCACAGTGCCTGTGTGTGGACAGCTGCATCAAGCGCATGACATCCAAGCCCTACAGTCAGTCAATGGAGATACAGAGTTTAATTCAGTTGCCTAAGACCCTTGGAGATGTCCTGGGGTGCTCAGTTGATCTTTAACTGCTCTTCCAGAAGAGCACATATCTTTTATAGACCCTATATCCTATATGCAAGCCCCCTGTGAATGTCTGTGGTGGTCTAGGGCATCTCAAATGGCACTAGGCACCTGCATGTGGTAGTTGAACTAAGCTCTCATGGTTAGGTAAGTCCCAGCCTTTGATGGCTAAGTTGAGGTGTAGGCGTCCTACCCTATGGGATCTGGAGGAAGCTGTGAAGGTTTGGCATCTTGGAGGCCAAAAGCAGATATATCTTTGTACCAATCTGCTGTATTTCAGATTGGGAAGAGGACCTTTTCTGGTGGTTCGGGCTCCAGGATGGCTGTTACCAGAGATGTCTGACTCAGTTAAAACTATTCTCGTGTGCTGGGGCCATGCATTACCAACTGATGACCTTATGGCCAAGAAGTGCTCAACAGTTAGCAGGGAAAGGGAGGTGTGCCTCGCTGCCCTAGGAACTCTCTTCAGCATCCTGCAGACCGCTAACTTCTCCTTAGGCTATGGCCCAGGGCACAGTCTTGTACTGGTGCTGCTCAGCTTTGCTAATGCATCTCAAGATGTTTCTTCTAGAGCCTGAGGAGCTCCTACAGTTTCTCTTGGGAAATCTAGAGGACAGCTTAGCCTGGGATGAGGAGAGTGAGGGCCAGAAGGCATGCATGGGGTGTTTCCTTGTGGACACTGGAACTGTCATCTTGAGACAGGCCTGGGCAGTATGTGTGGATCCTTCAAAACATCTGCAACTGTACAGACACACAGGCAAGCTAAGAGAAAAGGTTAGGACACTTGTCCATGTGCCAGGCATGCTGCAAAGTTTATTTCTGAGTGTAGCAGAACAGGCACAGTCTGGACTACATTTTTGCTCCTAATTTCAGGACTTAGCGCTCTTAAAAGGGACATTTAGTTTGTTTTATGAACTATCTTGCATTAAACACTGTTGATTGATGTGACTTGGGCCCTTGACAGGCCCTATAAAGTAACTGGCATGTTTGGGCATCCAGCACCTAGGATGTCCATATAGCTAGTTGATCTCTGCACACTGTTCATTGTTTTCCATCATATGGAAAGGCAATGGGTATTTATGTTGCTACACGTGATTTATAACCTATTGTAAATAAAAACCTGCTAGGTGAACTAGCATGGATGAGCATTGGAAATGAGAGAAGCCAGCCCCTCTGAAGTGGCACCAAAAAAAAAAAAAAGGAACTTGGAGAAATAAGGAAGCAGAACAGATCTTTACCTTCTGTGAACTCAGTTTTCTGTATTTCCTGGTTTTGGGGTGCCATTCATCACAGGGGAAGCTGGAGAGAAAACTGTATGTTCTGATATAACATACGAATGCACCAATACTTCCCTGAACTTCTTGCAAGACTGAGAAAGGCAAAGGTGTCTTAGTAGTGTTTTCTGTCTCTGTGTACACGCTGTCACCCTGGCTGACTACCCCATATAACATCCCACAAACCAAACCAGTTGCTAAGGATTGCACTATCTCCCCTAGTTCAAAACATTTGTATAGAAATATCTGCACCTGAAACAAGTCTCTAGACACTTTGCAGCTGATAAAGAGAAAGAAACACTTCCATGGGGTGATCTATCAGGTATATTTGGTGCATTGACCATAAGTCAAGGTAATTCATTTCTCAGAAGTGCCTCTTTTCCATCATGGTCTCTGAAAGTGGATTTTGTCACACTTGTTACTCTTGTCTGTGGAAGCACTTGCAGAGAGAAATAACACTTTAGTCATCTGAATGTTCATTCCTCTGCTGTAAGGTGAGATGAGCTGTGGTCCAGGAGAGCCTCTCTTCCTGGTGCTCAGAAAGATGCGCTGTGCAGGTTACATCAGCCTCAGTTATCCGCACTGGCGCTGCAGAGTGTCTGCCAACAGACTTCTGAGTAGTGTGGCACCATCTCACAACTCTATTTCCTATGACTGTGGTGTACCACAGGATGAACATGGGCTGGGGCTGTGGGTGCAGCTTGGCTCACCAAGCCGTGCTGCAGCTGAGCTCTTGGCACTGGCGAGTGGGTTTGGAGTGCCAGCACCTGCAAGTCCTGGCTGTCCTCCCTACACCCCAGAAATCCCCATACCTCCCTTGGATCACCTATGCCTTGGGGTCTTGGCCATCAGCAGTAACCTGAGAAGGGGGTTTGTGAGCCCATCAGACCCCACAGTCTGTGATGTGAGACTGAAAGCAGAACATCTCTGCTGCTGTTTTTGGGCATGGGATACCACTGGAGAACCATGAGCTACCAAAGCACAACAGATTGTGTGCAAATGCGCTGGCACCACACCGTCATGAAATGTTCACAAGGTTATGTTCACAAGGGAGGGTCATGGGATGGGACAGCTGAAAACACGCACATGTGGCCTGTAGCCACCCTGAAGTACAGTGCCTGATACTCCAGGAGCAACAGCTGAGCATTCAGGGTGGCACAGTAATTGCTTTGCAACACTGGTGTCTGAAGCTCATGAAATGGGGAACCTGTCTGTATCTGCAGAGGCCAAGGAAGCCACCTGCTACCCCTCCCAGAACAGGAGCAGCCAGGCAGCCCTTGCTGACTGCAGCACACAAAGGCAGCTCATCGCTCCCACAGCAATTATGCTCATCACACTTGCAAGTTTGGGGACGCTCTCCTCCTTTAATTTGTTTGCTGTTTTTGTTAACTTTTCTGCTACATTGTTCAGGCTCTCCTGCTCAGTCTTGCACATGCCAGCATACCCTCAGCCTTCTTTTGACTTGGAGCTGCACAGAGGGGCCCAGAGTGGATTAAGTAAACATCAGAAAACTGGGATCACCATAGCCAGCTATTTCAGGGCTTTTGAGTGTAAGTCATTGGTATTGGCTGGTTTATAAATGTGCAGCCCTTACAGCTGCTGTTCTGCAGTCTCTTGGAGAGCATTTCAGCATCCTTCCACGTTAGGGCTTCCTGCTACATTAAACCTAGTTCCTGCCATGTTGCAGGTCTACAGGCACTAGGGGGGAAGAGGGCGCTCCCTAAGGAGCTGAGACTTGCACTGAAGCACAGGTGCATGGGAAAAAGGGGGAGTGAGAGGCCCCTGCAATCTCTGAGGAATGGGCTTTGCTGTGACGGTGAAAATGTAGGCTGGCAGTACCACAGGGACTACTCTGCCCAGGAATCATACTGGTATCACAGGGCAACGTCTTCCTTCATGAGTTGAGCCATCTCGTCGTTGGGATCCTCGTGGGACTCGGTCTTCGCAGGCAGGTAGATGGCTCCCACAGAATGGAAGGGCATCACTGAAGTACCCAGGTCCATCCTGTGCCCATGATCTGCAAAGCACAGGGGACATGGACACACAGCTGATACTATTGGACTGGGGGCCATTGAGCTTCCTGAGCTTGGATGAGTCAACCCCATCTCTCTCTGGTGCATCCTCTTGGACCACGCTGTGTCCAAGGGTGGCTGGAGTGGGCTGCTTTAAGGGGATGGGGACCTTGAATTGCAACACGAGGCTCAGCGATCAGGGGGCTCTCTCACCTGAAGCTTGGCCTGCTGTTCTAATACACCTTCTCTTCAGGTACAGCCACAGCAGGACCCCGCTTAGCATCATTGTTAGGGCAAGCAGTGCTATCAGCACGGAGCAGGACTGTGAAGAGCCTGTGGAGAGAGCACCTTACAGTGTCAGGGCAAAGCTCCCCCCTAGACATCAGGATCCCCTTTCCAACCAAGTCCAGTAGCAGGCATGTAAGAAACGCTAACAGTAAACAGGGCTTGATCCCTCCATACCAGCAGCTCGGAAGGGACTTCCTTAATTAGGCTTTGCAATAAGACCTGTGTATTTAATAGGCAGAGCCAACTGATCTCCCGCCACCATGAACCTGATAAATCCCTTTCTGAACTTGTTTGCACTGCCCTGAAGTGCTGTAGTCCCCGCAGCACGGCTTGGCAGCAATTTCCACAACTGACCACGAGCATTGTGAAACATCATAGCCCTTAGGTTTGTTTTTTGCTTCATCTCTGATTGTTTCCTTGGGTGTCTGCGAGGTCATGGGTTTTGAGAAGCCCTTCACATTCCTCATGTCTGTGATGCTCCTGTTCTTATGGACCTCTGCCAGCTGTCCAGTGTGTTGTCTCTCAGTGTTTGGGGTTCAAGACTACTATGCATAGAAGAGACAGGCATACATCTAACCCATGTCCATCCTTCAAAGCTTTTCTAACTCTTCTGTAACCTATTTCAGACAGAGTGACTAGTCCCAAGAAGAGCATAAGAGTCCTGTAGGGATAAGCAAATTGGAGCCAGAAGAGGAAATGGGAGGGACTGGCTTTGAGATGAGAAAAGCTTTTCTCGTATTCTGAACAGTGGTATTTGGACTCAATGTGTGGAGAAAACAAGTCATATCCCCCAGGGAAGGCCTTTAAGTGCTGCCTAGACAAGCATATGTCACAGCAATGTCAGCAGAGGCGACCCTACCCTGGGACAGGTCATGGTGTGCATGAAACTTGGGGCAAAGTTATGCTTTATGCCGTGTTTAATGCCAAAGGCAGCTTCACAAATTTTCACCACAGTTTTCCATGAACGCAGTTTGCTGCTCCTTCCCTCCTGCCAGTGTGGCTTCAGTGTCATCCTTTAAATCAGCCCATTGCTCTGTTATGGTTTCAATTTAACACAGCAGAGGGGTATTTTGGGGTGGTTACCCTCTTTGAAGGCTCACTTTTCCTTTCCTGGAACCTCTGTCACTGATGAGGTTCTCCAACCCCTAGGAGTGTCTCTGAAGAGTCTTTATGCTGTATGCCAGCATTTTATCATTGGAAATAGTTCCCTAACTTTTAGACAATTCTCTTTTTTTAGATTAAATGTTACAAAGATTCTTTTTACTTTTTTGTTCCCTCAAGAATGTTAAGTCTAAGCATAAGGTCATCATGCTGCATAACAGCTCTCACAAGTTACATCTTGAACTGGAGCCTACCAACTGCTCAAGACCAAATTCTCCCGTCCCCTCGTGTCTGCTGCCTCCTGGGAGCAACTGCAGCACCACAATGCAACCTGATAACACTCCCTTTTCCCGAGGAGTCCTTCTCCCTCCATTCCCCAAGGGTGCACATCCTCCATTTTCTCCATTTTTTCAGTAAAATATCCGTGCCGGGTCTGCCTCTGCCACCCTAGGGTCAAATCCCTCTCTCCTACTCTCAAATCCTCCTTCTTACAGGCAGACATTCTCTGTGCCAAAGGGTAAGCGTGGAATATAGCAACCTAAAGAAGAAGTGGGGCACGGGAGGGCTCACCTTTCCACTGCATTCTCACCCTGGGGCCCTTTTCCCTGCCTCTCCCACCCCTGGTGCAGACAGAACGGTGCTGATACTCCCCTAAGTGTGTAGGAACATAATGGAGCTTCCCAGAACTCACCTTTTGGCTCAGTACACACCACGCCAGCTGCAGAGCCATGCCTGCACAGCCCCAGACCCGTGTTGCTCTGCTGGCACTCCAAGAGGAATGACTCTGTGCCCCTGCAGTTTAGCCCTTCCAGTAAGTGACGGCTGTTCTCCTGGCCGAACTGAGCTCCGATGGGTGCAGACTGTGCTGGCCCACAGCCCAGCTGCCTGCAGACCACCTCCGCTTCCAGCAAGCTCCAACTGGTATCACATACACTATGCCACGTAGCATTGTACAGCACCTCCACACGCCCTGCGCAGGGGCCTGGGCCATCCTTTACCCTCAGCTGCAAGGGGTAGGTACCTGCAATGGAAAAAACAGTGGGTGAGATGGCCTCCTTGGCCCCTCTGAGCCTAAGGGGCTGTGCATGGCACACACACATACCATGCATGAACAGGCACTCCACCAGGACACCTATGCAAAATACTACCTTATCCCTGCTGCACCTCTCCCCACATGAATGCCCCTTTCCAAGAAAATCCTCCTCATCTCACAGACATGTAGCACACTTGATGTGTGATCCCATCAACACACCTGTGCAGGCACCCAGCACTGTGCTGTGGCACTGAGTCAGTGTTGAGCTATTCTCAGTAGAGTAAAAAGACCCTCTCTCACATTCCCTAACACACTTCCAGCAGCATTCCTAACATTACCCGAGCACACAACTCCAGCGTCTTCCTCATGGTTGCAGTTGTGGAGTCCCCAGCCTTTCAGGTGGCACTGGGAGAGACTGGCTTCGGTACCTTTGCAGTCCACATCATCTAGCCAGATGGGGTCAGACCCTTGTCCAAAGTGAGCCCCACTGGGGGCTGATACAGCTGTCCCACAGCCCAGCTGCTTGCACACCACCTTGGCACTCTTTAAATCCCAGTTGTCATCACACACAGTGCCCCACTGCTGGTTGTGAAGCACCTCCACTCTCCCAGCACAGCGGTTCGGGCCTTTCACCAGGCGGACCTGTGCTTCTACTGTGACATTTGAGTCTGCAAAGAGAAATATATGACAAGAGTTTGGGACAAGAGAAGAGAACAGCGCATCTAATGGAGCTACCTGGCAACAGCACAAGAACAGAAACCAGAGTGCAAACGTAGGTTCCCTGAAGTTCCCCTGGCATGGGATACAACCAGCTGACCCTAACGAAGGAATTCATCTTACTTAGCTATAGAGATGGGATTCAGTTCCAGATTCATACCACAAAATGTTGGTGTCTCTTCCATGCAAATATGTGAACTGGGCAAAAGTCACACTAGCAATGAAGATCTGGTTGGTAGGATGGGGTCAGGAGGGTGAGTCTACTCCATGTAGCGACCCAGCCGGGGCTAGATGGACAGCCAGACACTGAATTTGATTCACTTAGTGCCATGTGAGAGTTCTGTGACATGTTGGAGTTGGCACTGGTTATGAACAGAATATCTTTTGATGCTTGGTTCCCTCAGCTTGGCGCTGAGCTCAGCTTATGGCTTGCATTCTGCTCCTACAAGGCAGGATGAGTTGTTTCTTGGCCTGGACTGGAACTGGTACCAGTCTAAACAAAAGGAACCTTCACTCCTCTCTCAGCCCCCAAAACAAACATTCCCAGGGCCTTCCCATACTAGCTTATCCTCCAATGTGATACTAGCTTTTCATCACATCCTCTGATGTGGCACAGGCCCCCAGCCTGGCTTGTGGGATACCCCATGTTACAGGGCTGTGAGTTACCTGAGCACACCACACCAGCATCTTCTCTATGGTTGCAGTTATTTTGTCCCCACGGGCGGGCTCTGCACTGGGAGAGGGCATCTTCAGTCCCAACACAGCTCACGTCATCCAGCCAGATGGGTCCTGAGCCTTGCCCAAAGTGAGCCCCCAGGAAGGCTGACTCAGCCCTCCCACAGCCCAGCTGCCGGCACACCACCGTGGCATCATTTAGGTTCCAGCCGTCATCACACACAGTTCCCCACTGCTGGTTGTGAAATATCTCGACTCTCCCAGCGCAACGATGTGGGCCATTCACCAGTCGGAGAGTTGTCACATTAGTAGTAACTGAATCTGAAAACACCACAAGATGTAGTAGGGGACCATGCACCAGCAATGCTTGGGGGCACAGCACCTCCCAGGATGGGTTTGAGCAACACCTGCCTCAGCACCTGCATGTCCTAGGTTTTCATCTGTCTCCGGCATGCAGATGCCCTCACATGTAATGAGTGCACGATCCTTCAGTGGCTCTTAGGGTCCTGCTGTATGATAAGATTTGCAGGCCCTGGTTAATGGGGACAGACATTTCTGTGATACCCTCTCTTTCCACTCTGTGGGCATCTGAATGGGGAGTGCTTCAAAGGGGAAAGTGCCCTTTTTAGTATCACTGAATTATTCCCCTCCTGCACCATCCTGCTTCAGTCCTTCCTGGGCCACTCCCATGCCTTCCAACCTCTGACCACAGCTACAGCTACAGCTCACCTGAGCACACCACGCTGGCATCTTCCACATGACTGCAACTATGCTGTCCCCATGGCTTTGTCCGGCATTCGGAGAGAGCAGTTTCTGTCCCTATGCAGGCCACTCTATCCAGCCAGATGGGGTCTTGTCCTTGACCAAAGTAAGCCCGACTGGGAGCTGAGATCGCTGTGCCACAGCCCAGCTGCTTGCACACCACCTTGGCATCATTCAGATCCCAGCTGTCATCACACACGGTCCCCCACTGCTGGTCATGAAACACCTCCACCCTCCCAGAGCAGGGATTTGGGCCATTCACCAGCCGCAGGTCAGCTGTGCTTGAAGAGCGTGGGTCTGAAAACACAATCAGGGAATAAACCCTTAGGAAAATTCCTGCACTCCTCTCTCAGCCTCCCCAAAACAAACATTCCCAGGGCCATCACATGGACTAATCCTTGCCTAGGCTCAAGGCGATCAGATATGGCACTGGCTTCCTAGTCTATCCCCCAAGGCACCCCATACTGCAGGGCTGTGAGTTACCTGAGCACACCACACCAGCATCTTCTCTATGGTTGCAGTTATTTTGTCCCCACGGGCGGGCTCTGCACTGGGAGAGGGCATCTTCAGTCCCAACACAGCTCACGTCATCCAGCCAGATGGGTCCTGAGCCTTGCCCAAAGTGAGCCCCCAGGAAGGCTGACTCAGCCCTCCCACAGCCCAGCTGCTGGCACACCACCGTGGCATCATTTAAGTCCCAGCCGTCATCACACACGGTCCCCCACTGCTGGTTGTGAAGCACCTCGACTCTCCCAGCGCAGCGATTCGGGCCGTTCACTAGCCGCAGATCACCTGAACTCATGTTTCCTGCATTTGCAAAGAGCATATCTGACCCTGCAGGGAAATTTCTGCATGCATGGTTGCTGGTCCCTCTGTGGGGCAGAATACCTCCCTTTGAGGGCTCAGTACCACCCCACCTCATTCAACCAAAGTATGACATGTGCAGCCACCTCTGTGGAAGTGCAGAGTACAGGCCCAGCATTAAAGACAAAAAGATTGCTATGACCAAGCACTGCCCTTTTTTGAGGGAATAGACCACAGGCTTTGCCAGGTAGGAAACGTGGTTGAGGGGTGCAGCATGCTGCAATGAGGTCCAGGGGCATGGGAGGCAAATTGGAGAAAGCTGCAAGAGGAGCACCCCTAAGCTGGCTCCATGCACAGCATCTCCTCTAGAGAGGCCTTAGTCCCTGCCTCAGCCACCACATTCAGCTCCAGTTGTGAGTCTACCTCCTGCCATCCCCAGTCCAGGTCTCACCTGAGCACACCACACCTGCATCTTCTCCGTGGTGGCAATTGTGGATGCCCCAAGACTTTGCTTTGCATTCAGAGAAGTCAGTTTCTGTCCCCGTGCAGCTCACATCATCCAGCCAGATACGATTGGATCCCCATCCAAAACGAGCTGAACCTGGAGCTGAGAGTGCCATCCCACAGCCCAGCTGCCGACACACCACCATGGCATCATTCATATCCCAGCTATCATCACAGACCGTCCCCCACTCATGGTTATAAAACACCTCGACTCTCCCAGCACATTCATTCAAACCATCCACCAGCCGAAGCTTGGGAATACTGGAAATTCCTGATCCTGAAAAATACACAGAAATATGCATTGTTAGAAATATTCTTGCACAACTTTGTGCCTGCTGGGCTGGAAAATGCAGAACATGTCTGCAACAGGTCTGGATGGTGTTGACACAAAGAGCTTGTATGTCCCTTTCCCCTTTCAGAGACTTGCAGCGGCATTGCAGGGAGCACAGGGCTGCTTGCAGGGTAGAAGGAGCAATGAAAGATCCCTTCAACCAGTTGCAGTCTGAGGGAACTTGACATGTGGTTACACTCTAGTTCAGAGGTAGGAACAGGAAGAAACACGTGTAACTCTATCTGAAGGACACGCTGCTTGGAAAAAGGTCAAAATAAGGTGAGAAAGTCTGTACTCTGTCTGTACAGTGCCCTGCCTTTGACCTTTGACCATAGCCAGCTGTGGATGCCAAGGGAAGAGTAAGGGAATGGTTCAAGCCTACCTCCCTGGTACAGTTTCCCAGCTTCTGACCTCTTGGAGCTCAGGGCTTTTTGCAATTCTGGGCACCAGAATTATTGCTTCCAATCTGCATCTTGCAGAAGATCAGGGTTTGATCTGTCTGCAGAGAAAGAGGGTGATGAAGTTTACCTGAACACGTAACACTGGCATCTTCCACATGGTTGCATCCATGTTGGCCCAAAGGCTTGGCTGGGCATTCAGAGAGGGTAGCTTCTGTCCCAAGACAACTCACTCCATCCAGCCAGATGGGTCCAGATCCTTGCCCAAATAGAGATGAACCTGGGGCTGATATAGCCGTCCCACAGTCCAGCTGCTTGCACACCACCTTGGCATCATTCAGATCCCAGCTGTCATCACATACGGTCCCCCACTGCTGGTTGTGAAACACCTCAACCCTCCCGGAACAGCTATGTGGGCCATTCACCAGTCGCAGGACTTCTGAGCTCCCCAACTCTGAGTCTGAAAAGAGAATTGGAAGATAATAAATCCTGGTAGAAATCACTGCCTACATGGTTGCTAGCAATGCCATGGTGCACACCATGCTTTAGCATCACCTTCTCAGGGGACTTGCAGGGTCTCCATCAGCACACAGTATTCATGACAGCCTGGCTAATGTGCTAATGAGTTTGGGAGGATGGAAAGAGATGCACAGCCTTTCCACAGGGAAGCTCTACCTGCCAAGTAGAATTGTCCCAGAACCTATGACTATTCAAATCAGGAAGCATGCATATTATATGTTAATATAGGATTATTTGTATTATTTATATTATTTAATATAGGATTATTTTGACCACTGTGGAAGGGGAATTAGAAATCACATAGGCTTCCTGCTGGAGCACATCCTGGCCTATGGTTTTGTACTAATGCTGTGCCAGGAGCATGCACATGTTAACAGCTTTTAGAATGACTCTGTTAGGACCATGCCTTGTAGATAGTGGACCTGGCCAAGTCTTTGCCACCTAACTGAGCTTGAATTCCTCTTTTATGCTAAAAGATTAACTCTGAAGTGACCAGACTTCAGGTACACAAGCACTAAGGTTTTGGGGATGGCTACACTGATAAACCATATGCACTATCAGCAAACAAGAGTACAAGCTAAGAGGTACAACACAGCCCTGGCAGTATGATAGGGGATGCTCACCTTTTCCCTAGAGCAAAGACCTCCTAAGAACGTGCTGAGACATTAACATCTATTCCACCAGACAGATGAGGAATCACTAGTGAAACATCCAACTTATGCCTTACTCACAGTCTCTGTTTGACTAATTCTCCAGCTAAATCTCCACAACCTTTATGTTGTATCTATGCATAGGTTGCAATTTGTCACAAGATTGCATTCAAGCTAATTCCCCCTTCCCATTCCTGACTGTCCCAGTGAGCAAGCCAGCTTACTCACTTCAGACTTGAGAAAGAGCATGGCTAAACAAATAAGGGGTGTGGGATTTTTTGCCTGAAGTGCTGAGCCAACATGAGGACACAGGGACACCATGGGTGATGCACAAGCAATGCAAAAGGTAGACTTGACACTTTTAGTGCTATATCTACATTGACATTTTAGGGTCTCCTATTGTCCCAGGTAAAAAGAAGCACAAGACCCTTCAAGCAGAGTGCTGTCCCTCACTCAGCAACCTGTGCACTTGGACAAGTTTTAAATCTCAGCATTCATGAATGCATCACTTTCCCTTCACCATTCACCATAGCTAAGGCTGGGTATTGCAAAAGCCAGGGAGATACAGGCCAAAATAATGTGGTCTAGTACGCCCAAGGCTAATCCTGTGTCCTGGCAGAACAATGCAAGAATGTCTGCTGCATGCAAACAAGCTGCAAGAGAGGTTCATACCACACAGCTAGAGCATTCAAAGATATACAGAGCTGCACAGCCTTAGGGCCAACCCTGAAGGAGAGAGACCCTTCTTTGCTTACTGTAGCTCAGGACCCTGAGAGTCACTTGCCACACAGGTATCAATACTACCTCACCTAAAGCCATCTGCCTGAGCATCCCTTTTGCTGCACACAACACCTACACTATCTCCCTGCAGAATTCACTTTTGATGCCTTGTTTTTCTCAGGAATATGCATGCTGCTTGGGAATGGAGGGAAGAGGCATTAGCATTCACCTGGATATGGAGTTCCTGTGATGTGACTGTCCTCATGGAGACAAATAGGCAATAAGGCACCAAAAAGGCATGTACACCTGAGCAAAGAATAACCTGGCAAAGAAAAGAAACTCCCCAAGGACTAGAGACTGTATGATAGCATGGGTGAGGAGCAGTGATCCAAAAGTCACATGGGCAGGATCAGAGTAGCTGGCAGGACCCACACCCTGGAGTATCACAGCTCTTTGTACATGATGATCCCTTACAGAAAGGCTACATATTCTAGGCTTGGGATTTCTGGCCCAAGCACTTTGCCTGTGGTAAGCCAGGGCCTGAAAAACAGTGCTTCCCTTAGCACAGGGCTATCATACTTCCTTCTAAAAGGAAAGCATTTTATGCTCCCTGGGGGGACCCCAGAAACAAGCAAAGGTGCTTTCTGACTGTCAAGGAAGACCGGACAAGGCAGAGCGGGAAGGGTGAATTTAGAGAGAGATTGTACGGCCTCCCTAAGGGGAGAGCTGATACCTGACTCACTGACACTGACCTGCAGCCATAGAGCACGTAACACTCGCGTATCTGTTAGACTTGCAGCTCTGGGCACCCCAGAGTTTGACTTTGCATTCGAAGAGGGCACCTTCCAGTCCTGTGCACTCCACAGCATCCACCCAGATCAGGGAAGGTCCTTCTCCAAACTGAAAAGAGTGAGTGACTGAGCGGGCTGGCCCACAGCCCAGCTGCCTGCACACCACATGGCCTTCAGCCAGGTCCCAGCCATCGCCACACACAGCTCCCCAGCGCTGGTCATGAAACACTTCAACTCTCCCAGCGCATTCAGTTGAGCCGTTCACCAAGCGGAGACTTGCTAGGTCAGAAATGCCTGATCCTGGAACACAACAAAGCATAAACATGTAAGAGGGTATCTTGTGCTCTTTGAAACCTTTGACTACCAGCAAAGGGTTTACTTAAGAATCTGTACAGCCTGCTGGTCGGGGATGTTCTTACTGCAACAGAGCAGACTATTGAGGTGTGATGCGAACTGGCTTAAAAATGGGGTTTAGTGCCCAGGGCTTGATTAGAATGGGCTTTGTAGGACTATAGTCAGTGGACCTTATAGAGTGATTTAGCCCCCCCTAAAGCAAACACATATGACAGGATTCAGATGCCTAAACATAGGCATCCTTGTGCCATTTGGGACTCCTAGGGTACCCTACCTGCCTTCCAGCATCTACTCCCAAAGGGCATAGGTTTTCTATAAGCCCTACAGAAGATTTCTTAGTCCCACATGGCACCCGAGGGCATCTCTAACACACTACCTTCCCATGCGGGGCCAACTGAATTCAAGATTGGATGTCTTAGTCAGAGCTGTGGGATCCACAGAGCATGTTGGAGATGAGATTAGGGATGGGAGATGGCTTCTCAGAGATTTACACAACCTGGAGCATCGCAGGATACATCTGTATAGATAAATCAAATGTATCTGAGATTCCTCTCTGACCATGAGACCAACACTAATTGGAAGAACACCCATTCATGCTACAGTCTTTGCTATTGTGAAGAAGTGGGTGGTCATACTGAACCTGCCTGGTGGGAATGGTCTGTGATCCATGATAACTACCAGGAATTGTGACACTGGCCAAAAGCATACCAGGGACCACACTGTTAATGCGGATGCTTAAGCCATTTATTTTTCTTGCGCTTTAATGTACAAGTATATATGCTGCCCTCTTCCACCAAGATGGAACATGAGGGACTGTTTTCAAAAGAAAGGGTCCCCAGGCTGGTTGCAAACTGTTCCTGCATTACAAGCCCTTATAACCACATGGAAAAGCAGAGTCATGTCTGAGCCTAAGAGGACTGGCACCACAGCAATATCACCGCTCGCTTACTGTGATGCTCCTAATGCAGTGATGGATGACAGTTACCTGAGCATACCACACTGGCATCTTCTCCAAGCTCACAGCCATGGAATCCCCAGTCCTTGGCTTTGCATTCAGAGAGGGCAGCTTCTGTCCCTGTGCAGTTCACCTCATTCAGCCAGATGGGGCCCTGTCCCTGACCAAAGTGAGCCCTCCAGGGAGCCGATATCACTACTCCACAGTCAAGCTGCCTGCACACCACTCTAGCATCCAGGAAGTCCCAGCTGTCATCACACACAGTTCCCCACTGCTTGTCATGAAGCACTTCGACTCTCCCAGCGCAGCGACCTGGGCCATCCACCAGCCGGACTGGAGAAAAGCTAGAAACAGCTGAGCCTGCAAACAGACAAACACTGAGAGCAGTCCCTGCACATCCAGTGTCTGTGTAATAGGATAAAGGATTTCAATTTTGAAGCACTTGCTCTTTGCAGCCAGAGCTTGCAATGCTGTATGGAGCATCAGGGTTACATTGCCTCTGAACCCACAAAAGCTCAAAGGTGAAGATGAAGATGCTTCTCAAACAGCCATGGGGTATGGTGCCCACCAGCAAGTGGAGTAAAGCAACCACTTTGCTCCCCTCCAAGTAACCAACCGGAATGGAGGAGCTGGAATTGGCTGCAGCAGAGTGGTCAGGTTGCCCAGAGAGGTTGTGGAGTCTCCTTCCTTGGAGATATTCAAACCCCGCCTGGATGTGATCCTGGGCAATATGCTGTAGAGGCCCCTGCTTGAGCAGGGGGGTTGGACTAGATGATCTCCAGAGGTCCCTTCCAACCTCAACCATTCTGTGGTTCTCTGATTCTGTCAGCAGTGGTCAGATATCCTGACGCACTCCTGGTAAGAGCTGCACTGTCAGGGACTGAAACTCACCTGAACACACCACAGTGGCATATTTTCCATGACTGCAGCTACTTTCTCCCCATGGCCTTGCCCTGCATTTATTAAGGGCTGTTTCTGTCCCCGTGCAGCTCATGTTGTCCAGCCAAGTACGGAGAGGTCCTGCATTGAAGTGAGCTGCACTCGAAGTGGACAGCACTGTCCCACAGCCCAGCTGCCGACATACGACCTCAGCATCTCTTTTATCCCATCCATGGTCACACACAGTTCCCCACTCGTCGTTGTGAAACACCTCAACTCTGCCAGCACAGTGATTCGAGCCATTTGTCAGTCGGAGATGAGCAGTCTCTGGAATGATAGAATCTACAGAGGTCCGAGAGAGTTACTAATCCCTTCAAATGGCTGCAGAATTCCTTTGATGCTTATCCTAACTGTTAGAATTAATGGTTCATGTCCCCTCTTAAATCCACCAAAAGGTACAGTGGTCAGAAGAGGTGAGAACGGAATGGCTTCTCGCTGCAGCCTGAAACTCCTCCTAGGAATACAGTGCATCATAGCACTGACCAGAGGATGGAGGTCTGCACTGGTCCTACACTGGTTTTGTCCTCTGCAAGACCCCAGCCCCATTCTCTGCAAAAGAGGCTCTCAGGGCATATTCCTTTTACTAAACTTCACCTAACAAGTTGGTCAAACTGTTGGTGGCCAGCCTGTAGAGCTCATGGAGGGAGAGGAATTGTTACAGGAATTCCTCCCACCACCTTAATATACAACTTAGGATGGGAGAATCTGCCTTCAGAAGGGACCTATTGCCGTTCAACAGCTACAGAGAGAGTCCAGGGAAACCACACTGAATGATGCTAACACTGGGGCTGAGCTCAGTCTCATATGGGGCTTAGACCTGCCTTCATGAGACCACCCATCAGCCTTCCATCTTGCTTCATAGGACATACATGGAAAGGTGCAGAAGGAATGGGGATTACCTGAGCACACCACACCAGCATCTTCCCCATGGTAGCAATTATTTATTCCCCATGGTTTTGCTTTGCAGTCAGACAGGGTGGTCTCGAATCCTGTGCAGTTTGTCTCATCCAGCCAAATGACGTTGGTGCCTCGCCCAAACTGGGCCCCTCCCGGGGCTGAGAGTGCCATGCCCCAGTCCGGCTGCCTGCACCCGACGCTAGCGTCCAGTAAATCCCAGCCGTCATCACATACAGTTCCCCAATGATTGTTATGAAACACCTCAACTCTGCCGGCACAGCGACTCCCATAATTCACTAGTCGGATCTGATTGTCACCTGGGTTAACTAAAAGAGCAAAACTCAGAGAAAGCCTGGCATGCTGTTACACCTACATGGTCTCTGCAGCATGGAAAGACTGCCCTAGTATCTCTGACATGGAGCAACATGTAGGAGACATGGAGCAGCTATATACAACTAAAACGACATTGGAAGTAGTTCACAGAGCATATCTAGGCATAGCAGTAAGGAATGGGGCTGACCCCTCAGGTTCAAAGCACATTATCCTTAGGAGCTGCCTCTTGACGAAGTGTTTCAGGATCAGTAGTTATTGTGAAAAAGATCTGCCCAATATGCTATTTGAGGTCAGCAGCTTCATGGTGCTTGCTGGCACGGGGATAGAAAGCTGACCCTTGTGTAAGACAAGGCTGCTAAACATCACATTGCAACCTTAGCATTAGCTCTGACCCCTCAGAAGAATGCCCCAGCATTGCTCTGACCACTGCAGGTCCCTTTGACAGTGATGGAGCCACAAAGAGAGCATATAATCTGGACTGCCTGCAGAACCTTACTGCAGAGATAGAAAATCAAGGTCATGAAACAAGCATCTCTTCCCCCCATCATTCCTGAGATGGTTACCTGAACACACCACGCCAGCCACTCTTCCACGATGACAAGTGTTGTTTTCCCAAGGTCTCATCTGGCATGCAGTGAGGGCAGTTTCAGTGCCCATGCAGTTCACACTGTCTGGCCACATTTGTCCAGGTCCTTCTCCAAAATGGGACCTGCCTGGAGCTGCAAGCGCTGTCCCACAGCCCAGCTGCCTGCACACAACTCGAGCCTCAGCGAAATCCCAGCCATCATCACACACAGCTACCCAGGTGTCATTGTGAAAGACCTCGACCCTTCCATCGCAGTGACTTGAACCATTCATGAGACGAACCTGGGCTGTGACAAACACCTTTGAGGCTGCAAACAACAAGGAAGAATAAATACCCTGGGAGACCTATGGCTGTGGAGATGCAGGGAACATTCTGCTGCAGCCTGATGGATCTATGCGTGCATAGTGACCACGCATCTAAAACTTCTTCAAAACCTCTGAAACTCCAGCACCCCTGGGATAAACACTCTGCTGAGACAGGAGAGGAAACCTGGCCTGGCTGCATGGGCAGGAAATGGGGAGGGTGAGTTACACCTGCAGAAAACTTTGCATGTTATTGGCTAATTGTTCCAGTGGCAAATGGACCACAGGGCTTGGATTAGGTGCCTTGTAATTCATGAAGGATTCCTGGGGTACAAGTCACTGCAAATGGCCACTGAATCTGGGGAGAGAGGAGGCCCAGGCAGCTCAGCTGTGCTGCAGTTTAACACTGGAATCAAGGCAGCAGAGGGGAAAAAGGCTTTTTATGGTAACCTTCATCTCTGCATGCTGCAGGTGCTCTTGAGCACTGCAAAGAGATGCTGCAGGCAAAAAAGCTTTCCAAAGAGACTTACTCTAGCGGCTGTGCTGCCTTCGGCTCTGACCTGATCTTTCCCAAGTTCCCCTACAAGGCCCTAAAAGCCTTCCCATGTTGTGGGGTGCTGGAATTTTAACCCTTTGCAGTGAAAGGTTTAACTGAGAATTACCTGAACATACCACTCCAGCATCTTCTCCATGGAAGCAGTTGTTGTCTCCCCAAGCACTGGCTTTGCATTCAAAGATGGTGGCTTCTGTGCCAGTGCAGTTCACCTCATCCAGCCAGATGGTATCATGGCCTCTCCCAAAGTGAGCCCCACTCGTGGCTGAAAGTGCGGTCCCGCAGCCTAGCTGCCTGCACACCACCGCTGCATCTGCGAGGTCCCAGCCGTCATCACAAATGGTGCCCCACATATGGTTATGCAGCACCTCCACTCTCCCAGCACAGCGATTGGGGCCATTCAGCAGTTGGAGCAGACCCAGCTCTGAAATACTTGAGTCTACAAACATCCCAAGGGAAAAAGTCAGAGGAAAGGTGTGCAAAGCCACAAGCAATGGCATGTGGTAGGAAGGGAAACAGGCACAGAGGTACTGCTCAGCCTGCTACCTACAGCACTGCACATGGTGCAGGGCTATCATCAGGATTACCTGAGCACTCAACACTGGCATCTTCCACATGGTGACAGTTGTGCTCTCCCCATGGCCTGGCCTGGCATTCAGAAAGGTCAGCTTCTGTCCCCGTGCAGTTCACCTCATCCAGCCAGATTTGGCCTGTGCCTTCTCCGTACCGAGCCCCATGCGAGATGGACAGTACTGCCCCGCAGCCCAGCTGCCTGCACACCACCTGGCCCTCAGAGAAGCCCCAGCTGTCGTCACACACTGTCCCCCACGTCTCATTGTGGAGCACCTCGATTCGCCCCGAGCAGTTGCTGGGGCCATTCACCAGGCGAACCTGAAGTGGGTGTGGAGGAGCTGAGCTTGCAAAGCCTGAAGGGGAAACAGGAAACTGATAGACATTAGGGGATGAAATCCTGGGGATAGGATTCAGCTGCCCATACATTTGAGATGTCTCCTGGCCCCCAGCTGCTGTTTGAAAGGGTTTCAGAGATGCTCTGAAGTAGCTGTGCATCCTATGAATGCCTTGGATACCCAAAGGCATCTCATATGGCCTTAGGTGTCAGTTTTTAGGCAACTCAGTCCCACTTCTGCATCTGAATGTCTGAATGTAATCAGCTTAACCTCAGTCACAGTCCTACATCCCACCCAAGGAGTCCTTTTCTTGCTCACATAGCAGGTACTTATAGACAAGCAGGTATTTAAGCTTCTGTACTTTTTGTACACTCAGTAGAAAAGATGTAGGTTCACCATCGAGGGAGAACTCAACGTAATAGTGCTATGTGGTACAGCTACACAAAGAGCTTTCGGGATGAGTGGAAAAAGTGCTAGGACTAGGGGAAGATCTTCATAATTTGCAAGACCCATGCTATAATATTGCTTTTAGTCCCATATGCACACTTTGCAGGAGTACTAACAAAATGGAGAGTGTGCAGAAAGTAAACAGGAGGTAAACTGGAAGTTAGCAACATAGAGAGCTTAACTGGGTCAGCTTAAAAAATGTTCAAGAAAGAACATGACTGCACTGTGTAAATAACTTTTTGACCGTGGATAATGATTCCCAAAGCACTCAGATCAAAGATCTGTGCTCAGATCAAACGGTGTTTTGCTGCTCCTCCTGACTGTCATAATGCTGAATCACAAGCTGCCTCAGGACCTGACTGACATATGTCCACTTCCTAAAACAGGAGTCCCATACTCCAAAGCTACATAAATTTACTCAATGAAATGCCTCCTCCCCTTTGTCTCCTTTTACAACCAGTGCAGAGCAATGGACAATACTGTCCACCTAAAATGGAACCTGCCTTCTGGAGAGGCTTATCACCCTCCACTGGATATATATTGCACATCTGAGTTAGGACCTTCAGTGAGGATCTGATTGATACCCTAAGCTAATAAGTTATAAGGATTTCACAAACTCAGTAAGCATGGGCTCAGGTGTAGCACTTGGGAAGTCATAGATGCTTGAAAAAGGAAGAAACGGGGTTTAAAAATCAAATCCTGGATTGGTCTCAGCTACAGATAGGATCTGGGGAGTAGTAGCCTGGCTAAAGGGGAAAAACTGTCTCTCTGCCTTCAGGCTTGCGTAGCTCAGCCCTTTTTGAGGGGCTGTATAGTGGGGACCAGATTATCACCAGGAAAGTGTCTTTGCAAAGCCATCGCTGGAAATTCGTTTTCAAGATGAGGCTGAACCAGATACATTGTAGGTACATGGTTTGCAATTTGCAAGCTCTCCTTTCCCCAGGCTAAAAACATAGTCCTGATTATGGCCTTCTCTTCTGTTCCCTTCTTTTTCTGCGGGCCTTTTTCTTTCCTTCCTCATTTTTGCTAGAAGTGCTGAGGTCTCCATTTCATTAGCAGTAACAAATTAACAGCAGAGCTGAGACTTAGCAGAGCTGATACATTTCTTGGCAAGTTTCTTGCAAGCACTGCCTTGGCAGGAGAGCAAGAAATGAGATTTCTTGGGAACCCTGGGCAGTCTCATATGCACCAAACGCCTGTGCTTGGGTGAACAAGTCCCAAACCAGATGACTCCAAGCAGCCAGGAGGTTGTAGCTGTTGAAGGTATAATCGTCATATATATATATCATATATATCATCCCAGGAACAGAATTTTCAGAAAACTAGGAAGTTTTAACTGTTCATTAATAGACTGTAGAAGAGAAAGCCCCAGAAAATTAAAGGAAAGCATTGATCCTAGAGGAAGTGGTACAAACCGTCCTTAGCAACAATCAGTCTGGAAATTAAAAGGATGTCTACACCAGCAGGGAAATCAGGGAAAGCAAGTTCTTGATTTCACTTGTTCCAAATGTGATCAGAAGACAAGGACTTTGCACTCACTGTTTGTAAATATGAAACAGCACTGAGAAGGTGCCCAAATCAAATAAACTGATTTCTGCTCTGAACTGTACTAGCCTGGACAAAGCCCTGAGCCTTTTCTCAGCAATTTCCAAAGCAAAAGTGCAACACTCTCTGCATGATATTGCTCTTGCAGCAGAACTTTCCCCCTTCATTGCACCCATGTCGAAGACAGTACCACAGCTGCAGAGCCAGCATGCTGGATAAGGGGCCTGTAGGGTCTGCGACTTTCTTATCATTCTGTCTGAGCACAAGAAGGGTCATGGCTCTTACCAACATTTTGCTTGTCTACCCCATTAGCCCAACAAGTGTTTGGTTCCTTCTTGTTCTGTGCAGCACTAGCCACAGCCTGACTGAATGTACCCAGTCTTGTCCTGGCAAGAAGGGTCTGCTATCCCCACTTGCTCACCCCTGCATCTGATGGGCAGCTGCCTGTCTCACCCAACACACAGTGGTATTGAGTTTGGCCAGGCCCCTTCCATGCTGCAGTAACAAGAATTTGTCATGCATAGTCTGGGCTGAATATGCAGGGCAGGAGACTGTGGCAAGCTGTGAGACAGCTTCAGGATGCTAGGAATGCTTCATTCTGCTCTTATAATGCTCACAAGTCTCAATTCTTTAATTATGTGGTAAAATCATGCATGTAGAAATAGATGGGCAATTCATGGCTTTGAGAATGCAACCCATAGAGATAGCCTAATTCCTTATTCCTCATAAAAACCTTCCTCCTGCCTCCAACACCATCACAAGCCTTTCTTCCCTACCGCAGACCTGTGAATGAAGTACAGGACCCCAGGCCAGTCTGTGCTGTGCTCCATGAAGTGCTGACTGAGTGCACGGGAGGAACATATGTTGCAGATAGGCTCCCTGTAGTCAGAAGCAAAGGTAAACACCACTCACCCCAAAGGCAAGCCATCAGGAGGAGGATCCCTGCACTCTTGGCCCTAGTGCAGGTGGGACGGTTTCTGCCCCAGGGGTAGCTGGGTGAGGGACGGAGACAACCTGGCATCCCCATGCTCACAGCTTGGCCATGGGCTGGAGATTGAAGCTGATCATCCTTGTAAGAGACACCAGCTGAGTGTGGTGTCCCACTGGCAAACTGGGAGGGCTGAAGGGGAAACAGGGCAGAGCCCTAGTGACGGAAGTGACAGGCATTTCTGCAGTAAGCCCTCCTCCTGCTTTGTCCCCTCCCTGCCCTGACCCTTCCCCTGTCCTTTCCTCTGCCATACAAACCCTCCTCTTCTGCCCCACTCCCCTGGCCCTATGGCAGGGACTTGCCTTCAAGTGAAACCATGCCAGAAAGTGACCCTTTGCTCTGTGCCACAGCCTGATTTTGTCATTGGATTGTGAAATGTAGAGCTGTTCCAGGAATACGCTGAGCAAACAAAACCCTCCTGGAACAGACGGTTCTGAAGCAGACCAGAGATGGGGGTGAAGGGGCAGAGGTCTTCCCCAACAATACCTGGACCCTTTTCGTGAGGAGTCTGCAAACAGAGTCCAGACACCCTAGGAGATTCAAACCCAGGCAGTCCCAGCTGTGTGGTAGTGACAGCCAAATAGTGCAAGAGTCAGTGTGTCACTCAGCACAGCCAAAGGCTGTAGAAGAGTTACAGTCTATGTACACCAGGTTCCCTCAAATGGTAATAAGTTCTTTGGTTTAATGAAGTTGATTATGTCTATTTTCAAGCCAGGTGACTCTCTCTCCAGTCTGTGCTGCCTGCTTTTAACATCCACGATGGTAATCAGAGTGCAGGGCTCAATTTAGCTCTCTAAATGTGGACGTCTAGTCCTCCAGACATGGCCTCTCCCTTTCCCTCCCAAACAGCACAAATCTTCCATAGGTCCGGTTATACATAGTAGTAGCCCAGCAAAGGGCTACTAAGCTGATTAAGGGAGTGGAGAATGTCTCATATGAGGAAAGGCCAAGAGAGCTGGGACTCTCCAGCCTGGAGAAGACTGGGGGATCTGATCAATGTGTATAAGTATCTGAAGAGAGGGTGTCAAGAGGATGGGGCCAAACTCTTCTCCGTGGTGCCCAGCAATAGGGTGAGAGGCAACAGGTACAAACTGGAACCCAGGAAGTTCCATCTGAACATGAGGAAAAACTTTGTTACTGTGAGGGTGACTGAGCAGTGGGACAGGTTCCCCAGGGAGGTTGTGGAGTCTCCTTCCTTGGAGATATTCAAAAGTCATCTGGACACACTTTTGGGAAACGTGCTCTAGAGGATCCTGCTTGAGGAGGGAGGTTGGACTAGATGATCTCCAGAGGTCCCTTCCAACCTCAACCATTCTGTGGTTCTGTGATATGTGCCAGCACCCTGCAGGCATCTCAGGTGTCCTGGAGTGTCTCAGATAGTACAGGATATCTATGTTTGGCAACCTGAATCAAACCTCTATGCACAGAACTAGGGAAATACAGCTACATTAGCTGTAAAAAGTATCTGAATAGATGTGGGAGCGGTGAGGGGGCAAGACCACCCTGTGAAAGAGGCTAAGCTACTAAAGGCTGGAAAAGCCTTTATTATGAAGGCTTTCCCAATACCAGTATGGCCTTCCACTGGAATAAGCAACAGGTTACTAAATAGACATTCAGATAGGCTTTGTTGGCAAATCAGAAACAACACAGGGCAATTGAGGCTATTTTTATGTGGAGAGCAAATGGACACAATTCTTTCCTTGCTTTTCAGAGAAAGCAGTTCCTAAGGCCACAGATGGTTATGCTGAACGTATTTCCTACCAGGTGAACTGAAACACCATCTGTGGCCCTGGACACAGATCTCTGCATGGACCATCCATGATGAGTAAGAAAGCTCACATCCAGCTTGTGATGTTTCGAATATCTAAGGAACCTCCCCAGTCAGATTTATTAAATGGGGATCTGCCAGGAACTCAAATTGTCTTTTTCTGCTGTAGCAGCATTTGCAAAATCACTTCTGCAGTATCAGTGGCCTTACCAATAAGTGCTGTTTGCCACTGTGCAGATAATTCTCTTGGTGTGTTCACTGCAATCACTGCCTCGAGCAGGA